AATGTGAAACACGATGAACCTATTGTTACTAATTAAATGGAAATCCTTTTGTTCCATTTCCTTACGACACATTTGTAGCTAACCGTATATCTGATGCTTTACAACTACAGTTTCTCTGTCACGGTCTGTGAGGGGGGGGGGGTCCAAATTTCTACCCCTAAACACTTCAACACTCCTTTCAGATCGTGTTCCACAAAAGGGAGGGCGAAGAAATGTGCTCCAAAATAGGTAGAATAAAACAGTCCTTCTCTGTGATTAGCAACATCAGTTACATCGTGTTTCACATTTTTATTCTATATGGATTGTGCTAACAGCTTTTGATTTGATTATGAGACTTCTTTAGCTATTAATTAACTTACGTAAAATAAACTGTTAAATTACGACCTAAAAAACTAAGTAAATATAGAATTGAAATTCAAAATTTACTCAACGATCTTACATTCATGATTGCCTCGAAGAAGAAAGAATGTATCAGGATAAGTAATTTTAATTGCCCATAAATAGAGTACAACTTCAACAGAAAATTGACCACGATCAACATAATCACCAAGAAATAAATATCTTAATAACGAATCATTAAAAAATAAAATAAAATATATAATAAGATTATTTACCGAGTGGACGCTACATCACCACCTTTTTCAAACATTTTAAGCTAAATTCAAAATGAAAATTTTTTTGTTTGAGAAAACAAAAAAAACACATCTTAATCAAAATAAAAACCATATCAAAGAATTGTCCATGAATATCTCCAACAATCGTAACTGGTGTACCTATTTCAAGTAAATTTGGTTCTCGAGCAGTTAATTCTCGACCACGTATCATAATTGTTAATGCTGCATCAAGTTCAAGACGACCTTCACCTTCCAAATGTTGAAGAAGTAATGAAAGATTAGGTTTATCTTGAAAGAAAATAAATAAACTTATCAATTTAATAAGAAATTATTACTAACCACTTGTACCAAATATTTCTTTAATAGTTAAAAGATGAATAGGTGGATATGGTACACTATCCATAATACGATCAGTACTTGAATAGATTTTTTTATTCATATTAACCGATGATTGATGTGGATATTTCTTTGTTGGTTGATTCTGATGGGGAGTTTTTTTCATTGTTTTTTTTTTGTCAACTACGACATTTATTATAAAATATACGCGCGCAAAAATAGTTTATTCAAATTGTGGAAATTTTCTCAATTTATTTTTTTGAGAAAGCGACAATTGACACGATTCAATTACATATGGCACGATGCAAGAGCACAGATGACATATGAAAAATGAAAATTTACCCTATGAAATGGACTCAAAAATGATTTTGCTGGTAAATGATAACTTAATATTAACATGTACATTTTGAATTTAACAAAATGTTACGAAAAGACAAAAACTATATTCATAGCTGAATTAAAAGAGATCACAGCAGATAAAAACTCCAAGATAAGAGAAAATTATAGGCAACTTTTAAAGCAACTGGTCAAAACCAGCCATCGGTCACCTATGCATAGGGAGGGTTCGAACTCAAAAGTAGAGAAAGCTGAGTTTACCATTGAAAAGAGCATGATCAATAGTGTATGAAATGGGAACGTTTCTGTTCCTGAGCAGCTTTAAATGTCTCAGACACACGAAATTTTTCTTAGAATAATCAACTCGAAAATTTGTGTGAAAGATAGTAGTGGAATACGTCTTTAAATAAACACGAATGAGTAGAATAAAAATTCCTCAATTAGATATGAATCGATAGAATACGAAGTACTCTTTCAACACATAGCCTTTATATAAATGTTAGATATCTACGAAACAAGATAATGCTCCCACAAACCATCTGTATTTTTAATGAAATTCAGTAACGAAACTTGCTTATAATGTGTTTTGTTCCCTTATGTTACTAATTGTCGCAATATAGACGACACTTCCAGATAGAACTCAACGAGCTCTATCGAATACACTCATTTTCGTGTGTAGTTTGATTTACTTTTCTCATCTGTTCCCTATAAATACTGCGTTACGGAATTTCATTAGTATCCGAAAATCGCGATATTTTTAAACCATTGAATGTTTTATGGTGTTTTTGTTCATAAATATACATATATTTTGTTATATTTGGAATTAGCATAGAATTTTGAACAAAATGGACTGTTTAGTTTTTCAAAATTTAAACTTTGATTCTTTTCGAAAATTTTCCTGGTCGAAAAAGTGAAATTTTTTTTTCACCGGATTCTAGTAAAAACTATACCATTTGATGCAGAATCGGATGTTGGGGAGGGTTATATGGTTGTTTTTGATTTTCTTTGCTTTTATCCTAGTCCGAACTTCGATTTTTGTAAAAAGGGTGAAATTCC